TAGGAGAGCCTAGAGTCCCACGCTCAGGGGGCTGGAGGGAGCCCGGCCTGGTCACAGTTGGGGATAGTGTGGTGTGGAAACACTATTTAGCCAGTCCTGGGCCAATTGGTAGCCAGACCTAGATGTCAGGAGAATAAAATGGAGAAGCAGCTAACACTGTCAGTCCCTCTAGATACTCTGTGTGCCCCAATTATCTTTTCCTGTCAACTTAACACAGCCCTGAATAACTGAGAATGGAATAGCAACTGAGGGACTATCCTGTTGTGGGATCGTTGTTCAGAGTGGGATATTTGTATTGCTGTGATTGGTTTAATAAAGAGCCTGAATGGCCAACAGCTAGGCAGAAGGTATAGGTGGGACTTCCAGACAGAGAGGAAGTAGGAGATGAATCAAGGTGCAGAGGAAATGCCAGGGAGACATGGAGGGAGTCAGACATACAGAACGAAAGAAAGGCAAAAGGCCACATGGTAAAACCCAAGTTAGTAAAAGCAGCTTAAGTTATAAGAGCTAGAGGGACAAGCCTAAGCTAAGGCCAAGTTTTCACAATTAATAATAAGACTCTGTGTTGTTGTTTGGGAGCTGGCTGGTGGGACAGAGAAAGGCTCCTTACATGTGGCACCCAACATGGAACTTGAATCTCCACACAGGGCCTGAGAAAGTGGTCTCTCAGGTAGACTCGGCATACAGAGACTGTGCTATGCAGCTGAGCACTTGAGCAGTGGACACTGGCTAAAAGCTCTTGCAGGTGAATGTGGCTATGGGGCTGAGTACCTGGCAGCATGAAGCTAGGTTCTCTCAGAACAGAACGAGTGGGGTAGAGCCAGCTTCCAGTGCCACTCGTAGGCAGTAACCTAGTAGTTTAAGATTTGTCTCCTGTGGCCAGAGAAAGATGTAAATGCATGGCTGCAGACACACAAAAACCAGGTGCACACACACATACACACACACACACACACACACACACACACCAAAAAAAAACTTTAAACAGATACCATAGGCTTAAAAATGTACTTAGGTGCTAAAGAAAATAGGTATTTTATTAAACAAAACATAGTTTAAAAACAAATAAGTCTTTAAAGAGGGAGTAAAGTAATAAAAAATAAGCCACATAAGGATGAAAAATATTATAACACAGGTAGTTTGGACCTTTTATGGTGCTTTGTTAATTTTGAATTTTTAAGATGCTATGAACAGAAAATGGCAGCTGCTGAGATAAAAGGGATTGATGGATTAAACCAGCCTACTTCAGAGGTGTCTTAGCTTCAGAATGGAAGTTGGGAAATGTGCTATGTTGGGGAAGGGTTGTGCTTTTTCATTCCACGGAAAATGAAATGCTATGGGTTCTTTCAAAATTAATGAAGATCAGATTTGACCAGCAAAGACCTCCTGAGGATTTGGGTTACAGACATGAGGGAAGAAGTCAGGGAAGACTACAAGACAGGTGACATGTATGCTGATTCCTCTGCATGGGAACAGCTCTGAAGACTGGATGAGACATGATAAATCTTGTTGGCTACAAAATCCTTATGACTTATTATTAGATGCCTTCCTTTAATGTGGCATGGATAGAGATTTATATTACAGTTTGGTTATGCAGTCCAAATGGACTTTTAAAGTTAACAGATACCTTTTACATGCTCAAACATAAAACATAAAATCATCTTTAACTGACTTGTGCATACCACAATTCTATACTTTTGATAATACAGATATATATGTTACCTTTAAAAGTTTGTATGTTTTCAAAACAAAAGGACCAGACACAAGTAAAGTAACCTAGGTGATCCAGCTTCTCAGAATGTCTCCATTTCAGTTTCCTCAAAATTCTGCACCAGAACAGCTTGAAAGCTGCTAGTTGAGCTGGTCCAGCCTCACAGACTACCCAGCCAAGACTTCAGATAAGCTCCACACTTTCTCACCACACAGAGACTAAACAACAACAAAAATACAGCTATCTCTCCCAGGACTTGATCATTATCCCAACTTTCTCAGGGTTCCCCAAAAATGCTGTAGTCCCCAGACAACATGAAATAATTTTAAGAATATGACACCCAAATTCCCAAAAGCTGGGGTGGGTGGTTTCTGGTTGTTCAGTGGATTATGGCTGCTTGTCATCATTTAGGAGGGTTGGTTACAAGATGTTATTGGTCATGGTCAGGGAGGAAACTAAAACAAAAGAAACTAGATTCTAGGATCTCATTCTGAAAAGAAAGAGGGGGATATAATATAATATATCATAAGAATGATAGAATAAGGGGCTGGAGAGATAGCTCAGAGGGTAAGAGCACGCACTGGCTCGCTCTTCCAGAGGTCCTGAGTTCAATTCCCAGCAACCACATGCTGGTCACAACCATCTGTAATGAGATCTGGTGCTCTCTTATGACATACAGGCATACATGCAGACAGAACACTGTAACCATAATAAATAAATCTTTAAAAAATGATAGGATAAAAGAATAGATTATTAAATCTATTTTTAAACTAAAAAAGCAACTACTAATCCCATACATTTTACATTGGTATGGATTTTTTTATATTCATACAATTTTTTTTGTTTTTTTTTTGAGACAGGGTTTCTCTGTATTGTTTTGGAGGCTGTCTTTGTAGACCAGGCTGGCCTTGAACTCTCAGAGATCCACCTGCTTCTGCCTCCCGAGTGGAGTGCTGGGATTAAAGGCGTGTACCACCAACGCCTGGCTATTGATATAAATTTAAGGTCATTTTTGTTATACTGTATATATGTTTCTACTCTTGTTTAAGGTATTGTACTTATGCAGCTCATTTTAAAATGAATACATAATTAGGAAATACAGGTTAGTTAGTAGGTAATCATCTATAATAATCAAACTGGTAGTCATGTTAGGTATGTTTTCTAGGTCAAACAGAGATATATTTTATATAGACCGATGGTCTTCAAGCACTTCAGAGGCCTACAGAATATGGCATTCTAATGTTTTGATAACATAAGGCTTTACATGACAGTGAGACACATCTGCTCCTGGCAGTATCAATTCACTTCAAAAAAGGATGATGGACATAGAGGAGCCTCCATGTGGAGTTCACTTTCAATATGGCAAAGCCAGCTGCTGGGCAAGAAAGTGTCCTTGCCTCAACTGCTGACAGCATGATGTTCAAATTAGATGAGCAGGGCACAAAAGAAGGCTACTGCCAAACTTTGCCAAGACAAGGGAGGACAGTCCTCCAAAATTCCTGCTTCACAAAATAGTCTGTCTGGCATTCTAGGCCTGTAGGGTTAAAGATGGATGTCCCAATGTTACAGAAGAACCTTGGTTGATTGTCCAGGAAGCCAAATGTCTCCATTGTTTCTTAGTTTTGGAAGTTGCTTGCTCTGCATTTCCTGTTTAATCAGGTAACATTATATCCTTCCTGGCTCTTTGATGAGGTTAAAGACTAAATAGTTATACAGTTTTCCTTGTTACCAAATTCAGAAAAAAACTTACATAAAAGATGTAAAGTTTGTAAGGTAGAGAAACATAAAAGCTTAAGTTGTTTATCTAAGAAAAAAGTTTGAAAAGACAGTTTTTGGTTGGTAATATAAGTTAGGATAGAAAGTATATTAGGTACAAAAATCTGACTCACCAAGACGCTCTAGATAATAAAGTAATTTCTCCAAATTTGCTAAATACAAATGGACTAGACATTGCAAATATAATTCTTACTTGAGAATTGTTCTTATTGTATATAATTTTACTGTATTAGAGCTAAAACCTTTCCTTTTTATTTAGACAAAAAGGGGAAATTTGTGGGATATTTGTACACATTGTGAAGATATATTCCTGTGATGGGTTTAATAAAGAGCTGAATGGTATAGGCAGGACTTCCAGGCAGAGAGGGGAAGTAGGAGATGAATCAAGGTGCAGAGGAAATGCCAGTGAGACATGGAGAGAGTCGGACATACAGAATGAAAGAAAGGTAAAAGGTCACATGGTAAAATATAGGTTAATAAAAGAAGTTCAAGTTGTAACAGCTAGTGGGACAAGCCTAAGCTAAGGCGGAGCTTTCACAATTCATAATAAGTCTCTGTGTTGTTACTTTGGAGCTGGCTGGTGGGACAGAGAAAGACTCTTTACACTATCCAGATCAGACTGGCCTGTGAGCATGTCTGTGGGCGATTGTCTTGCTTGTTAATTGATGTAAGAGAGACCAGTCCACTGTGGGTGGGCACCGTTACCTAGACAGATGGTCCTGGATTACATAAAAGAGTCAGCTAAACATAAGCCTCTGTGAACCAGGATGCCACATCCCTCCATGCTCTCTGCTGTACTTCCTTGGCTATGAAGCGAGTTCCATGGTCAGAAGTACTGCTGTGTGGAAGGGCAAGCAGACCTGTCTTCAAGTTCCCTCTTGAGTCACTACTCGGACTTTCCCGCTTCAAGGATGGATTGTAACCTCTAAGCTGAAATAAACCCTATCCTTCCCCGAGTTGCCATTTTCAGAGTGCTTTATCACAACAGCAGACAGCCAGCGAGAAAACCGTGTGCTTCATCCGGGCTTCGCCTATGTGGTGCCCTCTCCTGGAAGGCCTTTGCCTCCCACCGCCCTTCTCAAAGTAAACCCCAAAATGGGCCTCCTGTGCTTCCTCTTCCAGGAGGCCTCTGGGAAGGAGCTGACACCCCTCCGGTCCCTACCCAGCCTATAAATGTCACAGGAAATGTCCCCGGGCTGGGTTGTCAGGTTGTGGTCTCATCAGAGGCCGTCAGAGCACAATTTTTCCCCATCCGTGCTTTGTCCCACCACGCCCAGAATTTGCCTGTTCCCAGGGAGCCCCGCCCACTGTCTATCTGAGTACACAAACCCTGAAAACAGACCCAGGGGGCCGTGGAGGGAGTCAGGGAGAGGCAGGGTCCATTTGCCTAGAGGTGCTTTGGTCTGGCTGGTCACAGAGTGACTCACCCCACAGAGGAGGGAGGGGCAGTCACCTGGCAAGAGGTGTCTTTGGAGAAAGCTGGCCTCTGCCTTTAGTCTCCATTACACGCTGTGGAGAGTAGGCTTGGAGGCTGCAGGCAGACTTTTCTTTTGTCCGCTGTGGGCCCTCCTGCGGCCCCCCATCACTGAGTGGCCAAGCCTCGGCGTCCCACCCACGGCTGCGCACGCGCAACTGCAGTCATGGATAGGTTCCGAATGCTCTTCCAGCACCTTCAGTCCAGCTCGGAGTCGGTGATGAACGGCATTTGCCTTCTGCTGGCCGCTGTCACAGTCAAGATGTACTCCTCCTTTGACTTCAACTGCCCCTGCCTAGCACGCTACAATGCCCTCTACGGCCTGGGCCTGCTGCTCACACCCCCTCTGGCCCTCTTCCTCTGCGGTCTCTTGGTCAACAGACAATCTGTGGTGATGGTGGAGGAATGGCGTCGGCCAGCAGGGCGCCGGAAGAAGGACCTGGGCATCATCAGGTAGGTCCCACACACCTCTCTGCTACCCAGGGCAGTGGGCAATACCAGGTAACCTCGCCCCAGCCAGTGACTGACAGCTAAGGACGCTGTGCTCATTTTCCAGTTCCCATCTGGAAACGTGTGTGTGTGTGTGTGTGTGTGTGTGTGTGTGTGTGTGTGTGTGTGTGTGTGTGTGTGTGTGTGTGTGTGTGTAGGTCAGAGGACAGTCCTCAGGAGTCAGTTCTCTCCTTCCGCCATGTGGGTTCTGGGGACTGAACTCAGGCCCTCAACCTTGGCAAGCGACCCTACCTGCTCACCCATCTTGCAGGCCCTGAAAATATGTATTTTCGCTCCTTTCCATGGCCACTACTATAGCCATAAGAATGATTCAAGGTTTCCAGGAATTACCTGGGTCATATCTGCCACATCGGGTGCATAGTAGGTCTTTTGTTTGTCTGGTGCATGCAGCAAGAGGCAATGGTTTCTTTAAAGGCTGCATTTCCACCAGGCGGTGGTGGCGCATGCCTTTAATCCCAGCACTTGGGAGGCAGAGACAGGCAGATCTCTGTGAGTTCGAGACCAGCCTGATCTACAAGAGCTAGTTCCTGGACAGCCTCCAAGCCACAGAGAAACCCTGTCTTGAAAAACCAATAAATAAATAAATGGCTGCATTTCCTTTCTTGGAAGCTTCCCAAGACAAGCACCTAGGCTGTTGTCACCATATGTCCTCATCACCGGCTGGGGTCAAGTTCCACTTTGCCGAGTGCTTTTCCAGCAAGGCATCCCTAAGCTGATGCTCTTAAGCCCCGGGTCTGCTCCTTCAGCAGACCTGCTTCCCAGAGAATGAATCCTCAATACACAGACACTGAGAACCGCGGCCAAGGGCTGAAGACGCCGCTCAGGTGGCCGAGCGCTTGCCTAGAGTGCACCAAGGCCTGGGCTGGATGCCAGCACCGCATCCACCAGCTAGGACAGCCCACTCCTGTGACACCGGAAGCAGAAGGGTCAGGAGCTAAAGGTCATCCTAATCTATACACAGAGAGCTCAAGGCCAAACTGGGATCTACAAGGCCATGTTGAGAGAAGCAGGGGGTAGGGGAAGAGAATGTGAGGGAAAGAGACCCTATGCAAGCTGCTCCCACTGACTCTAGCCAAGTGCTGGCTGTCCTTTGAAAGCCCTTCTTCTCTCTCAGGTACATGTGTTCCTCCGTGCTGCAGCGAGCCCTAGCAGCACCCATGGTCTGGATCCTGCTGGCCCTCCTTGACGGGAAGTGTTTCGTGTGTGCCTTCAGCAACTCCGTTGACCCTGAGAAGTTTCTGGATTTTGCCAACATGACCCCCAGCCAGGTACAGCTCTTCCTAGCCAAGGTGCCCTGCAAGGAGGATGAGATGGTTAAAGACAGCCCCGCACGCAAGGCTGTGTCTCGATACCTGAGGTGCCTGTCACAGGTCAGTATGGTCCTGCCCAGGCCTTGATCTCTCATAGATACTATGCTTTCATGTCAATTTGACACAGGCTAGAGTCATCTGAGAGGAAGGAATCTCAGTTAAGAAAATGCCTCCTTAAGAGGTGCTTTAGGTAAGCCTGTAGGGCATTTGCTTAATGACTGATGTGGAAGGGCTCAGTCCATTGTAGGTGAGGCCACCCCTGGGTTGGTGGTCCTAGGTTCTATAAGAAAGCATGCTGAGCAAGCCATGAGGAGCAAGCCAGCACGCAGCACTCCTCCATGGCCTCTGCAGCAGCTCCTGCCTCCAGGGTCCAGCCCTGTTTGAGTTCCTGTCCTGACTTCCTCAATGATGAACTCTGACATCAGAGTATAAGCCAAATCCTTTCCTTCCCAAGTTGTTTTGGTCACAGTGTTTCATCACAGCATTGGTTACCCTAAGACATATCCTGTGTTGCTTTGGGGTTAGTGTTGAGCTGGGTCTACATGACTTACCAAGGATGCCCCTCACTGCAGGAGTCATAACGGAGAGCAGGAGATGTAGGGCAATTGGGACCACTCCCCTTGAGAGATTAGCACTGGGTCACTGATGCCAACTGCCTTAGTCAGGGTTTCTATTACTATGAAGAGACACCATGGCCATGGCAACTCTTACAAATGAAAACATTTAATTGGGGTGGCTCACTTACAGTTAGGAGGTTCAATGCATTGTAATCGTAGTGGGGCGTGGAAGCGTGCAGGCGCTGGAGAAGCAGCTGAGAATCCTACGTCTTGCAGGCAACAGGAAGTAGTTTGTCTGAGACCATGCATGGCATCCTGAGCATTCATGAGACCCAAAGCCCTCCCCTACAGTGCCACTTCCTATGAGCTTATGGGGGCCAATTTATTCAAGCTACCACACCGGCTTACCCAGAACATGCACCAGGTGCCTACCTTCCTGAAGTCACAGGAGCTGATGGCAGATGAGAGCTCGTGATGTACTGCAATGCCTGCCTCCCCACAACCTAGAACATAACTAGTTGAAAATAATTCAATCGCCGTTTATTGCCTGATCCCACATCAGGCTCTGTGCTAAGTATTTTCTGTGCACCGGTTTGTTTATTTCTCAGAACAACCCTTTGGGATGGAGGCAGGTGTTAGCACCCCCTGTTTCGGATGAGGTAACGGAGGCTCTGGGAGTTTTTAGTTCGTGAGGCCAAAGTCACACAACTTGTAACAGGCAAGGCAAGCTTCTGGATGCAGGTCATTGGTCCTTCTATCTCCTTACGAAGGAGATCCTCGTCAGCTGCTTGGATTCTTACTGGATAACCTCTCCATTATATAGGAGCATCCACAGCCCCACCTCTACCCAGGCTCCCAATTCCACCACCATCACCAAAGCCTGAGCTAGCCTGTGTCCATCGCGGAGCATTTATGACCCCCTTACACACGGAGTTTTCACAACTCGAGACAGCCCTGTACTCTGGAGTGAGGGGAACACTTAGGCTCAGAGGAAATGCAGGCTTGGGTGTGGTGACAGGTCCAGCACTCTAGATGTACAGCAGGCTAGGGTCTCCCAAGATCAGCAGAAAATGCATGGAGTTTGCAGTCAGACCGGGGGTTGCGTCCTAAGTTTTAAGTTATCCATCGTGCCTGGCTTATCGAGCTTTTTCATTTTTCTGATTCTCATGCATAAAATACTCAACTTGAGGGAGCCTGTGTGTGGCCAAATAAGGGAGCTGTGTAAAGGGTGGGGATTGCATCTACAAGTGCCAAGGATTTTCATGTTTGTGGGCCTGGGAAAGACAGCAGCTCTGATAGAGGAAATGAGCCGGGCAGGTGTGGGCTCCAGCATTAGAGAATGATTCCGGCGTCCCTCACCATTGGCCTAGGATGCTGCCCTCTGTCCCTATTCCCTGCTTAACGCCTCACGAAATATAGCATGGATTCGAGGATGGACGGGGAATGTATATGAGGACGGGTAAAAAGATAAAGTGGTTGATGCGCAGACGAGTGGGCCATAAACACAAAGAAGAAGAATATGGAGGCGAGAATGGATGGGAGGATAGGTGGATGGCTAAGAAGGGCAAATGAGAGAATGGCTGGATGGACAGTGATGGACACATAGTCAAAGGGAGGGCTGATTGCGGGATGGGTGGAGAGGTGGTTAGATGGGTGAATCCACAGGATGAACGCGAAAATGTGTAGTTGTGGCGAAGGACAGAGGGAAGAGGAGGGGACTTGGAGCACACACGGTGGGCATCTCACTAATGCCTTCTCATCTTCCAGGCCATCGGCTGGAGTATTACCTTACTGCTAATCGTGGTGGCCTTCCTAGCCCGCTGCCTGAGGCCCTGCTTTGACCAGACAATCTTCCTACAGCGCAGATACTGGAGCAATTATGTGGACTTGGAACAGAAGCTCTTCGATGAGACGTGCTGTGAGCATGCGCGGGACTTCGCGCACCGCTGTGTGCTGCACTTCTTTGCGAGCATGCAAAGCGAGCTGCGCGCTCTGGGGCTGCGTCGGGACCCAGCAGGTGGAATCCCTGAGTCACAGGAGCTCCCAGAGCCCCCAGAGGACCTGGATGGTGGAAGCGGGAAGGCCCACCTGCGTGCGATCTCCAGCCGAGAGCAGGTGGATCACCTCCTAAGTACCTGGTACTCCAGCAAGCCGCCGCTTGACCTTGCAGCATCCCCCAGGCTCTGGGGGCCTGGCCTCAGCCACCGTGCCCCGATAGCTGCTCCAGGTACTAAGCTGTGCCACCAGGTCGACGTGTAGGGATCTTGTTCGGTTCCAGCAGCAGCAGCAGTTTTCCCAGGTCAAATGCCCATGTTGACATGGATCTGGGAGCCAGTCTCCTGTTGACCTCCTTCTCTGATAGGCCGGTATCTGCCTAGTTTCTGGGTGTGTCCTCCTCTGTGGGTATCATCCTCTCTGAACCCGATCAAGTTCAGTGCACCCAGGACTGAGTCCCGGAATTCATCCACCCATCTTCCCTCCCTCCCTCCCTCCCTCCCTCCCTCCCTCCCTCCCTCCCTCCCTCCCTCCCTCCCTCTTTCTCTTCCTTCCTTTCTTCCTTCCGTCCTTCATCTCTCTTTTCTTCCCTTTCTCCCCTCTTCTTTCCTTGCCCCCCCCACCTCTTTTTGAGAAGAGTCGCACTTCAACTGTCTAGCCTTGAACTCCAGGCCTGGGTTGCATGGGTAACCTCCTGCCTCGGGATCCCTTGGTGTTAGGATTACAGGCATAAGCCATCACTCCCTGCCTTCCAGACACTCATCTCTAACAAGCCCCAACACAATACTGGGTCTTCTGGTCAGTGGACCAAATTTTGAGTAGTCACAGTCTGAATAAATCTGTTGTGAGTATGGGTCACAGACAACGATTTCCAGTTTTAAAAAATGATCACAATAGTGTCACATGCCTGATATTTATTCGTTCGATCTCCATGTAACCTGGTGAAGGAGGTATGTTTACTAGCACCCACTTTAAAGTTAAATTACATTTATCTGTTTGTTCACTTATTGTGTATATGTGCACCTCGGTGTGTGTAGACATCAGAGGACAACTTGTAGGAGTCAACTCTCTCCTACCATGTCTGTCTCAGAGATCAAACTCAGGCTGTCAGGCCTGTCAACAACCGCCTATACCTGCTGAGCTGTCTCATTGCCTTTTCTCCTTTTTAAAAAGAGAATTATTTTATTTTATGTATATGCAGAAGAGTGGGTATGTGCATGTGTATGCTGGTGTCCACAGAGGCCAGAGGTGTTGGATTCCCCTGGAAATGGAGTTACAGGCAGTTGTGAGCTTCCCAAGTTTGGGTCCTCTGCAAGTACTGTATGGACTCTTAACCCCTGGGCCATCTCTCCTGTCCCACCCCACCCCCTCTTAAAGCCTTACTCTGTAGCCTTAGCGCTGACCTGGAACTTGCAGGGATTACAAATGTGCCACCACACCTCAGAAACAAAGGTAGGTGTGTGTGTGTGTGTGTGTGTGTGTGTGTGTGTGTGTGTGTGTGTGTGTGTGTGTTAGGGTCCCATGAAACTTACCTGACCTCCAACTTTTTGTCTAACTGAAGATGACCTTGAACTCCTGGCCTTCCTGCCTCCACTGCCTGAGTTCTAGAATTATAAATGTGCACCATGGTGCCTGGTTTATGCAATGCTGGGGATGGCTCTCAGGTCTTGGTGCATGCTAAGCAACTAAGCTACATTATTAGATCACTGTTCGAAAAAGAAAACCAAACCCAAATGTGTTGAAGTTGCCCGAGGTCACCAGAGTAAGAGTTGGCATTGACTCCCAGGACACCTGGCTCTGGGTTCTATTCTGAGCTATGGCATCAGCTTACTTCCTAGATCTGTTTGATTGCCTCTCGATGCCCTTGTTGGGTTTCTTGCTGCTTCTACCAGGGTTCTCATAGTAAGTTCTAGCAAGCTCTGCTTGGTGAGTTTCTCATGAAAGTCCTACGCACTGACTCTTAATGGCCACTCCAGATAGTTTCTATTTTCCAGACTGGGGATCGAGCTCACTTGGTGGAATGTTTGCCCAGCGTGAACCAGAGTTCAATCCTTAGCACTGTATAAACTGAACATACTGTATACACTTGTACCCAGCACTCACGAGGTGGAAGCAAGAACATCAATTGTTTGAGGTCATCATCAGACACAAAATGAGTTCAAGGCCAGCCTGAGCTATACAAGATCTTGTCTCAAAAGTAAATAATAAGCAAACAAATAGACAAACAAGCACATTAATTAATTAATTAATTAATTAATTAAGTAATAATGGGGCTGGTGAAGTAGCTCTAAAAGTAAAGGCACCAGCTGCCACCCCTAAAGACCTGAATTCAGTCCCCAGGGCGCACGTAACAGAAGAAGAGAAGCAACTCTTGTAAGTTGTCCTCTGCCCTCCACATGTACCCCAGGCAAGCAAACACCACCTTCCCAACACACAACAAATAATGGTTTTTAAAAAATCTTAAAATATAAATAAGAAAACAACTTTGCTTAAAAATAGTTTATATTTTCCTGTGGGTGTATTATTTCTGTGAAGTCAAGAAGAGGTGACCTTTTATAGCCCTCAGTTCCCATTCAGTTCTGTTTGTAGCTGGCTAAGCCTGGTTCAGATTCTTTTTGTTTTACTTTGTTTTTTTGAGACAGGGTTCTCTGTATAGCTTTGGAGCCTGTCCTGGAACTCGCTTTGTTAACCAAGCTGACTTGGAACTCACAGAGATCCGCCTGCCTCTGCCTCCTGAGTGCTGGGATCAAAGGTGTGCGCCACCACTGCACATCTGGTCCAGGCCTCTAGCTGGCCGGGCTGCCTCCCTCACCTTTCTGCCGCCATCTCCCTTGCTTGCCACATGAATCAGGAGTCAGCATCATCCCCTTCTCGGAGAGCCCTGGCAGCATCCCCAGCCTGAGGCTGATAGCCTGGTAAGGGTTCTCCAGAACCACGTGGGGTCTAGCTTAGGGACTGCTAGATCTGTTAGAAAAGTTACCACTTAGTCTCTGGTGGCCCAAACTGGAAGAGCTGGGGAAAGATCAAGCCGGTGAGCTCCTGAGCCTCTGCCTGAGTCTCCCTGATGACTCACTTGTACCCAAATGCAAAGCGGGGTGCACTCCAGTCTCTGCTGCTTCCTCAGGCCCCTGGGCAGTGTAGGTGCCCTGGATGGCCCCCTGCAACCGGGATCCCTCCATTAAGCCATTTCTATTCCCCTGGGCTTTTGCTAAGAGACCTGGTGAAACCAGAAAATCCCTGCAGCTCAGCTTCCCCCAACTTCCTGACTGTGGTCAGGCCATGCAAATGTCTGCAGTAGCATGGGGTGCAGGACATGAGTTAGGCAAATTGTTCGCAGCGACTGTGGGAGAGAGGGGGAAGAGTGGGGGATGAAAGCCCAGCATGTGTGGGTGCACTCCTACCCTGGGAAAGGAGACTGGGAAGGGGCCTCCTTGGGCTCTGTGGAAGCAACACGGGGACCATTAACTGTAACTGTCACTCCTTCCTTCTTACACTGAGCATTTAGACAGCACCTCCTGCATATAGCACCGTGACAGGAAATACCCAAGAGACACTTTATAGGTGACCTCAGGGAGATCACTGCTTAAGGGGACAAGGATGGGGACAGAAATTTTGAGGACCTGAAGCAAATGGTGCAGCATAATAGAGGCAAGCCATGTACCTGGAAGCTTTTTGGACATTGAAGCTCTAGACTGAGGGACAGTGGCAGTATCATGTGATAGGATTCTTTTGACGTTTGGGAAGCAAAATGAAGAGGAGCAGCAAGAATGGAACCGGCCAAGGTCTCAGCCTTTGCAGTTTCTCATTAGGCAAATACTTGGAGGGGCTGAGGGCCCAGAGTACAAGTGCAAGAGGGCCACTGCCCCCCTTCCTGGGTATTATGGGCTGGAGTGGAAGGTAAGGATGTGATGAGTGAACTCACAACCAAGCAGAGGGCCACCAGTGAAACCTGACAGAAGCAAAGGACATTGGCTGGAGCCTGAAAGTCCATCACGTGATGGTGCCTGAGCCCGAGCCCGGTGACACCTTCTCTGGACCCTCCTGCCTCACCACGAGAGGTATCTCTCAACCTAAGACCCCAGCTGATACAGCTACCGACTCCTAACCTCTCTGCCAGCATCTTCCCATGCATCCTTCCAAGAGTGAGATGCCTCAAGCTACAGGTATCACCCCAACTAAGAATGTGGGACACAGTTAACAGGCTTACTTGCCTCCTAAAGACTCTTCCCTTCAAGGAGAGTAGTTGTCTTGGGGGCCCAGACACATTCCTCAAGTCTCAGCCAATCCTGGATTGCAGCCCCCTGATCCTGTCCTATACACAAGGGAGACACAACATCCGACTGAGCAGGATAGATATGTCCCGGAAGCATCAGCTTTGTCTGTAGACATCTTCATCTTATACAGCCTGGGCACTCCAAGCCCCCACATCTACTCCCCGCGGGGCGGGCGCGGGGCACGTGGGCATCTCCTGGGAGTACTTAATACTTAATACACTGAGGGAGCAAGGTGAGTTCTTAGTGACAAGGTCAAGCAGGGGATGTTACTTGGGGCTTGTCTAGGAGAAGGGATGCTGGAAGCTACAGGGCTGTGGAGAGACGGGCTAGAGGGAGGTAAGGAGGGTCAGCTACATAGAGAAAGGAACAACCAAGAAGCCGAGAGCGCAGAGACAGGCCAGGAAGAAAGGGGGCTTCGCTGGGGTTCTGTAGGAGCCAAATGAAGTCCCAGGCAACTGTCCCTTCCAGAATTATAAAGAAAGTTAGAGGCCTAGCTCCTGTTCCAGTCTGTGGTATTGATACAGGGATGTCAGATCACATCCTTATGTGGGGAAAGATGCTGGCATGGAGGACCACAGGGAAGCAGGGGAGCCAGCTTCCACTCTGCCATTGCCCAACTGCACCCGACCTCTCCCCCTCCTTGCTTCATGGGCTCTTTTAGGAGAGGCGGGAGTAGGGGGTTAGGGGAGCAAGTCCCTGAAAGTCTAGGGAAAACCTGTGGGAAATAGTCTGGAGGGACGGGTGCTGTGGAACAGTCCTCCTGTACACTGTGAAAACGTGCTGCTCTCATTGTTAATGAAAAGCTGATTGGCAGACAGCTAGGCAGGATTTTGGGGGCTGAGAGAATGCTGGGAAGAAGAAGGGAGGAGCCTGAGGGGTCATGAGCAGGATGTGGAAGAGGCAACAGTGGAGGTTCATAGATGGGGTGAACGAGCCTCAGGACGGCATGTACATTCGTAGAAATGGGTTGACTTGAGTTGTAAGAGCTCGCTGGAGACAAACCTAAGCTATGGGCTGAGCATTTATAATTAATACTAAGTCTCTGAATGGTTATTTGGGGAGTGACTGGTGGGACAGAACTAACTGGTAGAACAGAAAAGTCTGCCTACAGACAGGTGGGGGTGGAACAGAGGTGACACGGGGTTGCCTGTCAGTAGCGGCTGCCTTGGCAGTGAGCTTTGAACATCCTCCAGGCCCTTAGTTCCCTCTTCTCCCAGACCCTTACTCTGAAGCGAAACATAAAACCATCAAGGAAAGCCTCCTGTTTGGGTTTGAATTCTCACCTCCCCTCATGTCTGTCTGTTCCTTTGATCACCCATTTAGATGTTCACTCAGCACTGAACATCTGTAAGTGCCAGGCACAGTGTTCTCAGTATTGAAAATAGAACAGTGAACAGGGGCCTGGAATGATGGCTGAGCAGTTGTTAAGAGCATTGCTGCTCTTGTGCAGGACTAGGCTTGGTTCCCAGCACCCACATAGCCACTCACAGCTGTCTGTAGTCTGTACCTCCAGTTCCAGAGAATCCAATGCCCTCTGCTCAGGGCATACATGCATACATGCAGACAAAATGCTCATACACACAAAATAAAATGTCTTCTAAACAAGAACAGTGAACAAAACAAACGCAGGCCTTTAGTCTATGTGGTCCAAGGGGAGCCCCAGATATTAAATAAGCATCCTCTCAGCGTAGCTAAGTTTGAAATAAGGGGGCTGAGGAGACAGCTCAGTGGGTCGGAGAACTTACTCTGCAAGCATGAGGACCTGAGTTCAAACCCCCAGCACCCATGTAAGAAGTCCAGCATGGGTATGTGTGCCAGGAACCATGGAAGGCAGAGATAGGCAGATCCTGGGAATTCACTGGCCAGCCAGCCCAGCTTAGAAGATGAGCTTCCGGCTCAGCAAGAGAATAGTCTCCAGGCAACAAGGAGAGTGACAAAGGAAGACACCCAGCAGCATCCATCTCTGCCCTCACCTCTGCATGTGCATGCATGGGTACAGTCACTTGAGCTTGCAACACACATGCACACACAGAGAGACACAGACGGACAGACAGACAGAGACAGTCAGACAGACACAGAGACAAAGAGAAAGAGACAGAAACATACAGAGAGACAAAGAGACATCGAGCTAAGCTGAGAGCTCAAGAAGACCCCAGTAAAAACATGGGGCTCATCCCTGCAATCCCAGACTTAGGAAGCAAAAGGATGGCGAGTTCAAGACCAGTAACACCTTGCCTCAAATAAATAAATAAATAGGAGGAGACAACATTAAAGTGAATTTTAAAGGCCAGCAATGGTGGCGTATGCCTTTAATTCTGGAACTTTGGAGGTTGAGGCAGGTGAATCACTGTGAGTTCAAGGCCAGCATAGTTTATGTAGAGACCCGAGACAAGGAATCATCCAGATCTGACATGTCCATCTGAAAGCAGTGGAATCAAAGGGTGACAGACAGGACTCTCTCTGATCATGAAACCGCATCACCTGCAGGTCTGGAGGTGTAGAAACAGAAGGAGCCTGGAAAGGGTTTGCCACTCACAAACAGACACAAGCTTGTGTCCTCAGAGACACAAATATGAAACAGGATGAAACCCTAATGTAGGCAACCTGTTCAATCCAACTCCAAAGACAAGGCCAGTTCTGATGGTATGAACCTGTAATCCCAGAATTGGGGAGGTGTAGACAAGAGGATTGGGAATTCCGGATCTTTCTTGGCTACATAATGAGTTGGAGACCTTGTCTCAAAAAAAGAAAGAAAAGAAAAGAAAACCCTCTAAGTCCAGGTGGTCCTACTGTTTGCCACACTCACCCGCCACCTCTGCCATCCCTACTATGAGTAATATCCAGCTATACTACCTGTGAGAGCCTCTATTGTTACCATCATTCCCATGCCATCTTATTATCACATTTTCAACCGATGGAAGAGCTCCCTGGGGTCCCGACATTGTAGAGAGAGCTCAGAAGAGTGCAGAGAGATGGCATGCTCCCCCAGAGCCCAGTGGCCTCGCAAACTCCAGCCCTCCTCCACCTCCTCTGCCCTCCTCCCAAAGAAAACTGGTCCTCATCGGGGAGCTTTGTGGCTGGCTCTCTAGGCTGCAGGCAGCTGGAGAGACAGGGAGGGAAGCCGGAGGGAGGGACCCAGTCCTGGCTGTACCCACAGGATTGGTCAAGCTGTGCCCTCTCCCCAGAGTCAGAGTGACCTCATCAACTCCCGGGAGCTCTGCTAGTCCAGCTAGGATCCCAGTCATGAGGTGGCTGCCCAGTGGGCAGGGTGTCTCACTGGGGTTGTCCGGGAAGCTACAGTGAGAAGGGAGGAGGCTGAGGACCCTCAGGACACAATGGACAAGTTCCGGATGATCTTCCAGTTTCTGCAGTCCAACCAAGAGTCCTTCATGAACGGAATCTGTGGCATCATGGCGCTGGCCAGTGCCCAGATGTATTCTGCATTTGACTTCAATTGCCCCTGCCTTCCTGGCTACAATGTGGCCTACAGCATGGGCATACTGCTCACGCCTCCCCTGGTGCTTTTCCTGCTTGGCCTAGTCATGAACAACAATGTATCCATGCTGGCTGAAGAGTGGAAGCGCCCTGCAGGCCGTCGGGCCAAGGACCCAGCTGTGCTACGTTACATGTTCTGTTCCATGGCCCAGCGAGCTCTCATCGCTCCTGTGGTCTGGGTGGCTGTCACGCTGCTGGATGGCAAGTGTTTTCTCTGTGCCTTCTGCACAGCCGTGCCGGTGGCCACACTAGGCAATGGCAGCCTGGTGCCTGGCCTGCCTGCTGCAGAGCTGGCTCGCCTGCTGGCTCGTGTCCCCTGCCCTGAGATCTACGACGGGAACTGGTTGCTGGCCCGAGAAGTGGCCGTGCGCTACTTACGCTGCATCTCTCAGGTAAGGGGGCTGGGTCTCCTCACAGGCCAGGATCCCTCTGGGAAGGTCCCTTCTCAAAGTGGGGTTTTCCCTCAGGTGGCCGTGGGTAGAGGCATGCATTCCTAGCTGAGACTCAAGGCAGAGCCCGTGTCTTCTCTCAGACAGGGTCAACCTGGAGAGCGTGTATGGTTTTCCACCTCCTCCATCCTGAGCTCAGAGCTGAGAGGCTGAGAGAATTTGCATTCATTTCCTTTCCCAGGCCCAGGCAGCAGTGAGGCCAGTGGGAGGCTGAGCCATTTGGGTACATTTCCCTGGCAAATGCCCCCAGCTGGTGCCTCCCTGCTCCGGGAGTGGAAGCTGAGGGTCTGTCTGGGTACCTTAAACAGAAGCACATGCGTGACAGAGATGGATGGTTGGGATCGGGCTTAAAGGACCATCTGGGCATTGTGTCCAGGGGCAGTGAATTGTATGATGAGGGGAGACGGGCAGAAGGCAGTGTCTGCTAGAGAAGCAGACCTTTCCCCTCCCCCTCCCCCTTCCCCTCCCCCCTCCTCCTCCCCCAGGGGGACTGTTTTCCTGTACAGTCCATCACCACCCAGACCACTCAAGCATCTCTAACTTAGCTCTAAGCCAAGCTCCTTACCTCCTCCTCTGTGGACCCTTGCCCCATCACCCTAGGCCTCAGGCCCTGGAGCAGCTGTCACCCCACTTGACCTTCAAACTGCCACACTGTGTAAGCTGGAAGGTCCCCCCAGAGGCCACAAACAGCCTGTTAGTAGACAAGTCCCTGTGACGAGTAGAGACTGAATTCTGAAGTCACTTTAGAATTTATTGACTTTATCTAGAAATCAGCACTTGTCAAAGAAAAAAAAAAATCAGATCTCCAACTTCACTTGGAACATGAGAAAAACCTAAGCCCTCTGAAACCACAGTGACCTAGTGAGCAACATGGGAGGCAGCCCCTGACTGAGTTCTGGGTTTTCCCACCTGCCCTCATGGCAGTCACCCCCACTCCCACCCCCACGTCCTTGACTTTTCCCAGCTCTTCTCTGTGCACATGACAGGGAGGGGTGTCCTCTCTGGGCCCTGCGGTGAGCTACTGTCAGAGCACATGTCAAAGCCAAGTGTCCCAGGCTTTTCAGTGGAGTCCAGGACTGTCCAGGGTGTCTCTGGAATTCCTTGAGAGTCCAGCTCAGCTGGTGAAGGCAGTGTTCACTTAGTGCTGTGTCAGTTCTAGAAGCCAGAGGAAAGGTCCCAAGCTTGGAGGTTGAAGGCCACTGGGCCTGGGGAGATCAGGAAAGGGCTTCTTAAGGACGAGGCATGGCCCCTGAGTGGTGCCATCACAATGTCTAACACAGAGAGCTATATGCGGCTGTCTTACGGCCATCATCACATCTGTTTCTCATAAAGCCCCTGGGAGGTTGGTGCTATCCCTAGTAGCCCCATCCTGTAGGTAGAGGAACTGAGACACAGAAAGATCAAGTGGAGACAGGGTTTATACCCACCCAGAAGGCCTCGCTAAGCCCTGCCCACTGAGTGCTCTGCCAAAGCATCACGGTCTATGCTCCCAGGATCTGGTTTCTGTGAGCTGAAGTATATGGCCATTTTACACATGGGGAGATAGAGATCGTGCGGTGGTGTCATTGGTCCATGGCTGTTCTCATCTGTAGAGGCTCTAATAAGTCCTTGGGAGGTCTGCTGACACCCTCTCTCCCCACAGGCACTGGGCTGGTCCTTCGTGCTGCTGGCCACGTTGCTGGCATTTGTGGTGCGCTCTGTACGGCCCTGCTTCACACAAGCTGCCTTCCTCAAGAGCAAGTACTGGTCCCACTACATTGACATTGAGCGTAAACTCTTCGATGAGACATGCACGGAGCACGCCAAGGCCTTTGCTAAGGTATGTATCCAACAGTTCTTTGAGGCCATGAACCATGACCTGGAACTAGGTCACACACATGGCGTGTTGGCCACGCCCACAACTGCAACCACGGAGGCTGCTCCAAGTCCCTCTGAAAGGATGGAGGAAGAGAGGGAGAAGCTGCGTGGTATCACCGACCAAGGCACCATGAACAAACTGCTCATAAGCTGGCACAAATGCAAGCCACCACTGCGGCTGGGCCAGGAGGCACCACTGATGGGCAATGGCTGGGCTGGGAGTGAACCCCGACCTCCACGCAAGGAAGTGGCCACCTACTTCAGCAAAGTGTGAGCTGTAGCTGCAGAGACGGGAATACAGATCTGAACCCACAGTCCTGTGCCCCTCAAAGTAGACATTAAAATAAAAAAACAATTCTGAGGCACAGCCACAAGTCCAGGCAATAAGGAAATCTGGAGCTGAAGGACCTTACCTCTTTAGCTGTGACACTGTCTGGGTGGCCTGGGAGCAGTGGCGCCTGTGCCCCACCTGTGGCTGCAGTATTACAAGTGTTCACTTCTGGCTGTAAGAACAGGATGCAAGGTACCAGGACTGGTACCGAGTCCCTTCCCCGCCCTCATTGTGATGCTGTTCCTTCCATCCTTGGCTGACTGTCCTTAGGCTTCCTAAGTCCACAGCCAGCACTTCCTCTTGCTCCAGACTCCTCTCAGGCTGAGGCTCAAGGACTAAGGGCAATCAGCCCTCTCATAGTGTTTGCCAGTTTCTTGGGTAAGATGGAACGGGGCTTCACCTGGTGTGACACACCTGGGTGACGCATGGTAAGATGCCAAGACCTAGGACCACGTGAGAGAGGCCAAGGTGTGTGTCACGGGGGCCATTAGAACAACTTTTGAGACAGACCCCATGTTTACCTCACACTAGGTACAAAGTTAATATTCTCACACATGATCTTAGGGAAGCAGACCACATCCATGGGGCTTGAGAGCTACAAATGGAAGCTGATGAATTCTTATTTTCTCAGAGGCTCCCTGGGGAGCTTGCCCCATTGTGTGGTGAAGATGAGGGTGTCACCCAAGAGTGGGAGTAAAGACTAGGGTGGGATACAATGGGTTAAATGCTGGTCCTACCACTTGCAAAGTGTGTCTCTGGGCCTGGTGCCTCATTTCCTGGGTTCCAGTCTCCTCATCTGTGCATCAGGGAGAAGGCCGTCTACCTCATGGGTTGACCATGTCTAAATTCACAGGGCACTTAGCAGACACCTGGGCCAGTGTGGTTAATGTGTTTGTTTGTCTCTGAGCCCGTGGACAGCTTGCTCTCCCCTCCCTTGGCCCCAACCAAGGGACAGGAATCTTGTCCATGCAAAGGAAACAGAGGTGCAGGCAGGCTTCCTGTCTCCCAGCCCCATCCTTCACCCCCGCCTGTTCATCTCAGGGCTCACTTTGACCTCCTTTGTTTTCATCTCCCCTCATCCGCTGTCCCTCCACTCTCAAGTGGAGCCCCGGCAGGGTGGCAGGGAACGGGCAGTAGAGCCTGACTCCAGCCCTGAATGAAGGGACCAGATGAATGCAGTCTGGAGTGCATTGGGGGCTTCCACTGGGGACAGGGTGCCAGAAAGTGCTTGGAGAAACAAATGCAAGGCAAAACTTTGGTGAGACCTGGCTTCCAGCACCGGAGTGGTGGGAGATAGGGCAAATCTCCCAGCCTGTAAAGTGCTTGTGGGAAGACAAGGATAAAGAAATACCGATTCCTCTCCATTCATTTCTGCCACACAGACAGGCCAGACTCAGGAGGGTCCAGCCTGGTACTCAGTGTGAGATCCAAAGTCACAGCCCTGGAGAGCAGATGTTCCTGGGGCTATCTCCCAATCCTAGGCTGGGTCTTGGCACTCTCCACAGCATGCTACTAGCTGACTCATGACTCTCTGGTCTTGCCTTTGAGCTCCCAGAGATAGGAACTCGTGGCCACTCTAGGGACAGGCAGGGCAGCTTAGAAGCCTGCTTCCCTGTAATTTCCACCTTTGCCCAGCGAGCCCAGAGGATCCCCAGATTCCTCGATTTAGTTGTCAGCTGTGCAGAGGTGGATGGGGACGGTGCTGGGAGTTAGCTGTAGTGGGAGCCTCTTCTGGGGACAGGCAGAGGCAGGACTCTCAGAGAGAAGGGCAGGGTCTTGACCTTTTGCATTCTGGAACAACACCATCAATCCTGAACACCCACCTATGCCCTGACTCCCACAGGGGCTGTTCTTTAAACTGGCCTGGAGGGCAAGCCTGGGCAAGATCTACTGGAGGGCCCGGCCTGGCTCTTGCCTAGACCTTCCCAGATAGCCCCCAGGGGTGCACAGGGTAGAGTCGGCAGGGCCAGTAGGGCCAGCCACAGCGGGGCCCAGAGGCGGGCTGGGACAGGACGCAGCAGCTGAGACCGCTCCTCTAACTTCCTCTGTTTCTGTCTCGCGCCGCCCTCAGCAGCCCGCCCTCCTCGGCCTGGCTCCAGGAGGCTGATTTTCCATTCGCTGACGAGAAAGTTCCATGCCACTGTTTTCTCTCTCTCTTTTTCTGGAGTTAAATTTGTTTGCAGATGCTTGCAGCTCATCTATAGACGCCTGGAGTTAAGTTTGTTTGTAACTGGGCCCCAAAGCCCTGTTGCTTTCAAACGAAAAAGCGGAGCCACAGAGAACCCGCCCCGCCGCCGTGAGGCCCTTTGCCTTGCAGACCTGAGTCTGTCCAGGGTCGGTGGGGCTCGCACTGCTGTCACTCTGAGAGGCCAGCCCAGGAAGCCAAGGTCACTGGTGCCTGCAGCCAGCCCAGGTAAGGATGGGCCCCTTCCTTGGGTGTGCAGCTATCAAAGGAGCTGGCAGGCTGGTCCCAGGCAGCCTCCAGGGATTGCCGGGAGAGGGACCCCTCGACATGGAAGTACTGCTTCCACTCCCCTCCCTAGCCGCCTGGCTCCTGTCCTTGGGAAGAGGCCCCTAGCACAATAATCTCAGAAAAACGGCCCAGTCCAGCCTGTGCTCCTTCCCCTTTCAATCAGGCATTTTGTACTTGAACATTGGGTGGGTTTAAGAACCTGGGGCCACTAATTGGGTGCCAATTGGGTGCCAGGAAGGGAGCAAGGGAAGGATGGAGGGAGAAAGGCAGGGATGGGGTTGCCTCCAGCAGCAGGATGAAGTCCCTTCTTTGCGGGATTATTCAGGATCTCTGGGCTCTGAGCTGGGGAGTCAGACTGTCCCTCCTCCTCCTGGAGCCCACATAGCCACATGGCCCTGCCTGTGCCCATCTGGCATCCTTGGCAGAGGCAGCAACAGGAAAAGGGGTGTGAATGGAGCAGAAGGAGCTGGTCCAGGCCTCCCTGTCTCTCTCTCCACTGCCAGACTTGCTCTGGCCTGGGAAGTTTTGTTTTCTTCTTTCCCCTGATGCGGATGGTCATAGGGCCACACCCTGCCTGTCTCTCTGTGTGTGGGTGGAGCCTGGGAAAGAATTAGGGCTAAACTTCCAAAGAGCCTGAGGCCCAGAGCTCCCCTGGCAGGGTGCCCTCTCTGCTGCAGTCGCAGATTCAGGGGACAGCGGACAGGTGCTGCGGGCCTGAACCCCACTAAGGCTGTCCGTGTCTGTCTGCTGCGGAAGGGCTTGGCCTAGGCTCCTAGGAGCAGAGCAGGATGCTGGATAGGGGAAGTTTGAGGGGAGCCAGGTCTGAAGGAGGTTGTGAATGGGAACTAGCTTACTTCAGACTGATTTTGTCCACTTCCTACGTATCCTCAAGTCAAGTTAAAGCCTCGCCCGACTCCTCCGGGCTCACCCAGCCTCAGGCAAGACATCCTGTCCTCCCTGGGTCTTCATTTTCTGACCTTTGCCATCATGAGAGTCATCCCAACCTGAGTTTCGGACGTTGAGTGATGGGCATCATTTGTTGTCCCCTAACGTTCCTAGGAAGGGATCAGGGACCAGAGTGACTTACCCTTTTCATAGCTGAGTCCAGAGGTCTGGAGAAAAGAAGTGTGTTAAGACCCTGAGGTCTCCAAAATGAAAGGGTTTTGTGTACCCAAGGAGGCTGACATCTCGTGTCAAATTTGCTCTGGTCCAGAGGGCCTGGCTCCTCACCAGACCATGGCTCCATTAGGACAGCCCCTGCAGTTTTGATACCCGTATCACACCCTCCAAATTATCCCGAGTCCTTAGCATCTCTGTACTTCCTGGAATCCCAGAGAGAAGTCATCCCCTCTCACCTAGCGCCTCCGGCCATTCTTGAGTCTCCTGATGAGGAGAAGGCAGTGGCAAGAACATTTAAAGGATTCGGGGCAGGCAGACCTGATCTTGAACTTGGAGGCCTGCCCGTTATTTACATGGGGCTGGCTCGCCCTCAGGAAGCCTCACCCTTTTCTGGGCTCGAGGTGGGGGTGCAGAAGGCTGCCAGGGGGTTCCCAGCTCATGAAGACAGGCAGCATGGATGGAGAGTGTCAGCACCAGGCAGGAACCTAAGCAACTGTGGCTGCCACCGTTTCCACGGAGGCCCCGAGCTTCCCCACCTGCTTGACCACAGCAGCCCCCCTCAGCCTGTGTTGAGGGACGAGCATTTATCAGTCATCTGTTTCACAGGAAGCACCAGATCAGCGGCTGCAGGCGGTAAAATGGCATAGTCATGCTCTGCCGTCGGTGTCCCCCGGCCCGTGCCCCCTCCTAGTCTCACCAGAAGCCACCCCGATTGCATCGTCCTCCTCTGCCTCCTCTTGAGCATCCCATCCCCTGCCCACCAGTCACCATGGCAGCCTTGATCGCAGAGAACTTCCGCTTCCTGTCTCTCTTCTTCAAGAGCAAGGATGTGATGATTTTCAATGGGCTGGTGGCCCTGGGCACGGTGGGCAGTCAGGAGCTGTTCTCCGTGGTGGCCTTCCACTGTCCCTGCTCGCCGGCCCGGAACTACCTGTATGGGCTGACGGCCATCGGCGTGCCTGCGCTGGCGCTCTTCCTCATCGGAGTCATCCTCAACAACCACACTTGGAACCTAGTCGCGGAGTGCCAGTATCGGAGGGCCAAGAACTGCTCGGCCGCCCCCAACTTCCTTCTCCTGAGCTCCATCCTGGGCCGCGCAGCTGTGGCTCCTGTCACCTGGTCTGTCATCTCCCTGCTTCGAGGGGAGGCCTATGTCTGTGCCCTCAGTGAGTTTGTGGACCCCTCCTCGCTCACAGCCGGGGATGAAGGCTTCCCCTCAGCTCACGCCACGGAGATCCTAGCCAGGTTCCCTTGCAGAGAGGGCCCTGCCAACCTGTCGGGCTTCCGAGAGGAGGTCAGCCGTAGGCTCAAGTATGAGTCCCAGGTAAGCAGCTGTGTGAAGAAGGGCAGCCTTCTGCCTCCCCTCCCTCAGCGGTAGCTGGTGGGGCGGTACACAATAGTACGGCCCCGTGTGAAAGCGAGCAACTCTCCAGGGAAGCTTTAGTGGCCATGCCAGGTCTCGGAGCAGGGTAACTCCCTGCTTAGTGTTCTGTGGGGCAAGGGTCAGTTCATCTCAGGGGTGATGCGGGTCTCGATTTGCCTTTGGATGCGTGCTGGGGATGGAACCCGAGTCCACATGAATGCCAAGCGCGTGCTCTGCCAGGGAGCTCTACTTGTCTTAAGCACTAAGGGGACGGCAGCTGGAATGCCAGAGAAAGCATCCCATATCCCATAACACCACAAGGCCATCCCAGTCTACCTGCTGAGATTATCTTTACCCCGGCTTGACTGGGCATTGGCCCCTGCAGGCCTCCTCAGAGACTCTTGCTGTGGGCTTTCAGTTGACAGTGAAACCTGGGTGACCACAGGAATGATCATATTCCTGTCCCAGCAGTGAGTCAGGGGCAGGCCGGGAAGAGGCAGGCTACTGCTGCTTGGGCCTAGCTACAGCCTTCCCTGCATCCTGTTTGGGTGTTGGTCAAGGAGAAATAGGTCAAAAGAATGGTCAGGGGCTTGGGAGATGCCTCAGTGGTTAAGAGCACTGGCTATTCTTCTAGAGGACCTGGGTTCAATTCCCAGCACCCACATGGAAGCTCACAAGTATCTGCAACTCCAGTTCCGGGGGTTCCGGCACCCTCAGACATATATTCAGGCAAAACACCAATGCGCATAAAAATAAACAATCAAAAACAATGGTCAGAAGCAGCGATTGGAACTGAGTATGACAGGATGAGGCAGATAGGAAACACAAGATCCTCTACAGGGTCTCTTTCCTTGAAAACATCCGAAGGCTAAGCTAGGTGCTGGAGAGAACCCGCAGGCACTGCTTTTCCAGAGGACCTCGGTTCAATTCCCAGCACCTGCATGGCAGCTCACAACTGTCTGAATTCCAGTTCCAGGGGATTCAATGGCCTCTGAGGGCACTAGGCACACTCATAGTGTACAAACTTAGGTGCAGACAAAACTGTCATTCCCATTACGAGAGAAAGGAAGGAAGGAGGAAGGGAAGAAAGAAAGGAAATTAGCTTCCTGGGCTGGGTCTTGCTTGGGAGGTAAGCGTAGGAGGGCCTGAGCTCAGGGTCATTTTTAGCTCCATAGTAAATTAAGGGCCAGTTTGGAGCATGTCTCAGTGAAGAGGAGGAGGGTTGGAGGAGTGGCTGGGTAGACTGAAAGTGTTGCTCTTACAGAGGACCCGAGTTCAGTTCCCAACACCCACGATAGGTGGCTCACAGCTGCTTGTAACTCTAGCTCCAGGGAATCTGATGCCCTCTTCTGGACTCTGCATTCACAAAAAGCACCCCTCAACACATGTACATACCCCCAACACATATCCTAACACATAGGCATGCCCCAACACATGTACAGATCCCCAACACATGTACATACTCCCCAACACAAGTACATTCTCCCCAACACATGTACATATCTCCAACACATGTACATATCCCCCAACATATGTACATACTCCCCAACACAAGTACATTCTCCCCAATACATGTACATACTCTCCAACACATGTACATACTCCCCAACACATGTACATACCCCAACACATGTACATACTCTCCAACACATGTACATACCCTCCAACACATGTACATACCCCCAACACAGGTACATACCCTCCAACACATGAACATACTCCCCAACACATGTACATACCCCCAACACATGTACACACTCTCCAACACATGTACATACCACCAACACATGTACATACTCTCCAACACATGTACATACTCTCCAACACATGTACATACCACCAACACATGAACATACCCCCAACACATGTACATACTTCCCAACACATGTACATACCCCCAACACATGTACATACCCTAATACATGTACATACCCTCCAAAACATGTACATACCCCAACACATGTACATACTCTCCAACACATGTACATACCCCAACACATGTACATATCCTCCAACACATGTACATACTCTCCAACACATGTACATACTCCCCAACACATGTATATACCCCTAACACATGTACATATCCCCAACACATGTACATACTCTCCAACACATGTACATACTCCCCAACACATGTATATACCCCAACATATGTACATATCCCCCAACATATGCACATACTGTCCAACATATGTATATACTCCCCAACACATGTACATACTCTCCAAAACATGTACATACCCCAACACATGTACATACCCCCAACACATGTACATACCCACACACATGTACATATGCCCACACATGTACATACCCCCAACATTATGTACATACTCCCCAATACATGTACATACCCCCAACACATGTACATACCCCCAACACAAGTACATACTCCCCAACACATGTACATACCCCCAACACAAGTACATACCTCCCAATACATGTACATATCCCCCAACATATGCACATACTCTCCAATACATGTATATACTCCCCCAACACATGTACATATCCCCCAACACATGTACACCTCCCCCCAACACACAAAATCTAAACTAATTCTTTAAACTGCAACAACGTAAAGGGAAGAGGTAAGGCTAAGCTGCAACTCAGTAGGACGCATGCCTAGCACACATCAGGGCCTGTGTTTGATCCCTAGCACCAAATAAACTAGGTGTGGCACATGCCTGTAACTCGGCACTCAGGAGGTGGAGGCAGGAGGACCAGACACACTCAAGACCATCCTCAGCTACACAGGCCAACTTGGGCTACATGAGACCCTGAGTTGGGGTGGGGGCAGGGAGGAAGGAAGCAGAGAAATGGGGCTAAGGTCAGCATCAGAATACTGGTCACTAATCCACAGATCCATGAGCAATAGGCACGGATCACCTCCACGGCCCTGGCCTCGGCAGACTTACTTCTTCCTAGGGTGAAGCAAGCACAGAGATCTAAGGACGGGCAATGGTGGTGGTGTGTGAATCTGAGGCCTCGGAAGCCCTCAGAGGTGGCATCTGAGCTCACCCAGTTTGAGCTGGTTTTTGTGGATGGGAGCCTCGCACGTTTAACATGTGTTCTGTCTGTCCCTGAGCCCCACTCCCAGCTCCTGACCTGGGTTTGGTGGAGTCCAGTGATGATGCACCCTTGGGGCTGAGGAGTTAAAAAGACAGAAGGCACCGGCTAAGCACGAGAGAGTGTGTGGGCTAAAGGGAGTAAGAATAGAAAAGAGGAAGTCCCGCTTGCCCACAGAGCAGAATCTGTCCCTTCTCGAGTCTCCCCAACTCCATCCCCACCCCTACCCCCGCCCTCCCTGCTGCCACCCTCCCCCTCCCAGGCAGGGTCCAAGCAGCCTCCTCCCTGAGCCCCTCCCCATACGCCCCATAGGTGGAGCCTCAGCAGCTCTCGGCCCCTCCCACCCTCCCCCTCCCAGGGAGGGACCAGGCAGCTCTGGGTCCCCTCCCTGAGGCCTGCCTATTCTCTTGGCCAGCTCTTTGGATGGCTGCTCATCGGTGTGGTGGCCATCCTGGTGTTCCTGACCAAGTGCCTCAAGCACTACTGCTCGCCACTCAGCTACCGCCAGGAAGCCTACTGGGCACAGTACCGCACCAACGAGGACCAGCTGTTCCAGCGCACAGTGGAGGTGCATTCCAGAGTGCTGGCTGCCAACAACGTGCGCCGTTTCTTTGGCTTCGTGGCCCTCAACAAGGACGATGAAGAGCTGGTCGCCAAGTTCCCAGTGGAAGGCACACAGCCACGACCGCAGTGGAACGCTATCACCGGGGTTTACTTGTACCGCGAGAACCAGGGCCTCCCACTCTATAGCCGCCTGCACAAGTGGGCCCAGGGCCTGACAGGCAACGGCACAGCCCCTGACAACATGGAGATGGCCCTGCTCCCTCCCTAGGGCCTGCTTCCTTGTTCTCTGCAAGCGGCACTTCTTAGTCTCAAACACACTCTCCCGCACGCTCACTTCTGCACCAGATTTTTCTGTTAACTCTAACGTCTTGGGCATAGACCAATGGGACATAAAACAACTTAGATGTTTGTGAGGATCTTGTGGACATGGTCCACAGAAACTGGGGACGGGGTGGGATGAGTTGGAGGGACTGACTTCCCAGACCTGGGATCTCCTGTGGCCACCAACACATTGTTCACAGCTATGGACTTTCCTAGAGCTGGTCCTTCACTATGCCATGGGTGATCTTCGGTGGGCCTGCAAACGGAGAAGCATCAGCTGGCAGAGCCTGGTGCCAGTCCAACCCACGGGGGGGGGGGGTCATTATTATATAGTACACTTCATGCAGTTAACTTGTGTCTAATTGCATAGGGATGCCCAGCTCCTGTGTGTACAGCTAGGAAGCTGCCTCCATCGTATACCTCTGGCCTAATTTTATATATTTAAACGTTTTGATAAAGCTTTTCTTACTTTAAAAGCCTACACTGGTGTTTGTGCAATGGACAATGACATGTAGCTCACAGTGAGAGGAGATGGGACAAGACTAAAGGGGACCAAAAATCGGCAGCCGTGCAAGGCAGGTCACATGTCCTGCCCAAGGGCCGAGTCTCTTAGCAATTTGAGTTACCTGATGTAATCTGGTCAAAGAGTCTGGCCTTTTGCAGGGGGCAGCTCAGTGAAAAACATCACATTAGAATGTCCTGCCCAAGAACCAACAGCCCTGGTCCTCCTCCCTCTCAGCCCTGCATCGACTAGTTCCACACTAAAAACCTCATGCCCTCCCTCGTCTGTCCTGCTTACTGGAGTACAGAAAACTCAGAGAACAATATAGGCTGTCAGAGAAAGCTTTTTAATTCCCTTAGGCAGGCACACACACACACACACACACACCAACAACAACAACAACTAGTAGGGTCTGTGCTACCACACAGCCTGCTGAGCTGTGGCAGACTTGGAGACGCGCGTGCGTGCGTGCGTGCGTGCGTGCGTGTGCGTGTGTGTGTGTGTCGTGGTGGGGGGGGTGTCACTTGGCCTTGGGAGTCAGGCAGAGACCAGGCAGTATAAGCAATACTTTCAGCTTTCCTAGGTAGTTTCAGTTTCCTATTTCCTTCTGGATTCTTCATCTGTCTTGTCAGTCTCCACAACAGGGCAGATGGTACGGGCTGACCTGAAACAATGTCTTCCCAACACCCTCTTGGGTATGTCCTGAGAGCTTGCCAATAGGCAAAGTGGGACCCTGACCATGAAAACCACTGGCCTTTTCCTTTCTGCTCTTAAGTTGCAGCAAATGCTCCTGAAAGGAATACTTGTTTTTTTTTTCTGAAGCCCAAGAGACTGTTGCCTGAAAAAAACAGAGCAGCCTCAGGAAAAGAAAAGACGTAATTTATTAGATAAAACAAGAGCATTAAACCTCAAGGGCCAGGTGTGATTTAGTGGAATAACAATTGCTTAGCATGTGTAAGGCCTTGGCTCAATCTGTAGCACTGTAAATTAAAAAAATATATATATGTATGTATGTATATACATATTTTTTAAAGCAAGCAGTGATAGTACACACCTTTAATCCCAGCATTTGGGAGGCAGAGGCAGTAATTTCTGAGTTCAAGGCTGGCCAAGTCAGCATAGCAAGTTCTGGGCCAGCCAGGACCAGAGGGAGAACACTATCTCAAAAAAACTATTTTTAATTTTTAATTTCATTTTTTTTAAAAAGGAGAAAGCCTCTCAAATGCTTTATTCTGGCAGGACTGTCCCAGGCATGCTGCAGAAAACGCAGCACTTAAATCGTCCTCAGGAACAGCTGCCACAGTGTCCAGGTGCCTGCTGCAGGCCATGCTGCCTGCTGCCACAGTGTCCAGCAGAGCCTAGAGCTACTAGTCCTCCAGCACCGAGCTCTTGGCCTCCACATACTCCAGGGCCTTCGCCTTGACAGCCTGCACATCCTTCTCGGTGCCATGCTGCTTCTCGTAGTCCAGGTAACGCTTGAAGAAGAACTTCATCCTCTTAGGGGCCAAGCTCAGATGAATGACACGTTCAAAGATGTCCCTACAGGAAGAACAAGGAAGCAATTCCCGCAGGCTCCCTACCACACAACTCCTAGCTACTGCTCCCCAACTTGGCCTCGGGCACAAGGTCCCTCTAACGTCCAGCAGCCACCCCATTTTTCATCTGTGTCATCAGTATGAACTCCTGCCATAGCCTAAAGACACATGGTGAGGACAGAGCTGCCAGGGTGGGGACACACACGACAGAAGCCAAACTTAAACCCACAGAAAGAAGGCAAGAACGAGGCACTTGTTCTTTCCGAACCCTGCTCTATCTACCCACCTCCAGCCCTCCCTGTCCCTTAGGGATTGTGGGGGACAAAAGTGAGAGCCCCTTATGACAGTTCCCAGGCCACCCCCAGCAGAGCTCAGACTTACGAAGGCTGGAAAGGAGAAGTCAAGTGGACAGGGAGCCATGTCAAAGCTGTTTTTCAGCACCAAGTCAGACACCTGGGAGCTGCTAAAGTGCCCTCCTGCCCAGGCCCTCCCAGTCAGCCCTGACTACCGCGGTCCTCACCTGACTTCCTTCTGGCTGCCATGCTTGATGGTCATGTCGATGTAGACTGACCAGACATCTGTGCGTTTCGGGTAGGTGCTCAGTGTGTTTTCAAAAATGGCTTTAGCCCGCTCTGCATCCCCCAGCTGGAATTCTAGCTGGGCAAACTTAGAAATCACATCCACATCTGTGGAGAAAGGACAGGTCAGAGGCAAGACACCTCCAGAGACCCTCACAGCACACTATGCTACAGGGACAGGGTTACCTGACTCATTGCTCTAGGGCCAGGATCTAGGGTGAGATAAGAGACAGACCCCTGAAAGGACATTGTGGGTTTGAAGCCAGACACACACAAGCCTTGCAGACAGCCCTATTCTTAGGCCCATGGACAACAGAATCAGTGCTAATTGTTTTCATGCTTCTGTATTTGGGGTCCAGCATCTGACCTGCACACATCACCATTCACAAGCACACCATCAGCCTTCCTAACTCAGGGGTGGCTCCACCCTTACAAGACACCAACTGCCACTTCCAGCATCAGGCCTGGGTGTGTTCAGGAACAGGAAGAGCACTCACGCTCCTTGGTGGGCAGGCACTCCAAGGCTCGCTGCAGCACGCGGTGACTGGTCCCAGCCTCACTCCTCCTCAAAACAAAAGCGCCATATTTGATCCAGACAGCCTTCTCCTGCCGGAAACGTTTTAGCATCCGGCTGTACAGCTCACCAGCTTCCTGTGGGACAGAGGCAGTGAGGAAGGAGTGTGGAAGATTTGGAGACTGGGAGGGAGGAGCCTCCCTAGAGGTCCCTCCAGGGAAGAAGGTTCCGGATGGAAGACAGGTGTGAGAATAGCAAGGGAAAGCAGAGGGAAGGGGCCTCTGAGGCTGGAGGTGACAGTGGGGGAACCCAGGAGGTGAGGCTCTCACACACTGCTGGCCCTGGCCTGTTCAAGGGCTTGTGGCCTGGGGCAACCAGGCACAGAGCCTAACATCCTACCTTGAACTTGTCCGACTTGGTGTAGATGTCAGCCAGGTGCAGGAAAACCTTGAGAGGCTCATTGTACTGCACAGCCCGCTCGAAGACCTTAGTCAGGGACTCCTGGGAGCCATACATGTTCTCCAGGTTCAGCAGTGCCACCCACACGTTCAGCTTCTCCTGCTCCTCTCTGGAGGGGGTGAGAAGAACATGAGCTCCATCAGCTTAGGCTGCACGCCCACGAACTATTTCTCTCCCAGGCAACAGCTACGTATGTCCTCAAGTCCACCTCTAAGTGCAGACCGACACTGAGACTGTCTCCACTGTAGCCCACTGTAAGGGGAACCTGGCTCCCCTAGCTCTTACTGCAAGTCTGGGCCTGCCCCGATTTCTCCCTCCATTCCTGGGAAGGCAGCCTCCAGACTACAAACTGACTGACACTAAAGATGAACAGAGGCCTGGGTCTGATTCTCTCCCCCGTGAGGGGACAAAGCACAGATAGAGCTGTCATCCCTCTGCAGCAGGCTTCAAAAAGCCACCTCCGCTCCGCCAGGAATAGTTCACACCCAAGTGTGTGCTGAGGTCTGCATGCTGCCTGTTTTACCAGGGAACCTTGCTAGCACACAGAGACCAGTAAACGTTGCCATAGTGATGTCATCGAAGAGGACCATAAGTGATCTGTTTTGGGTGGCTACACTTGAGAGATGAGCCTGACAGACCATGGGCTGCTACTGGCCTGGCCAGGAAGAAATGAGCCATGGTGGCAAACTCTGTGAGCCAAAACAAAGTGTAGAGCGTAGGCCAGACCTGAAGGAGATGGTCTTCAGGGCCCTCTCGGCTACAGCTCGGGCCTTCTCGATCTCGGTGGCCTGCAGGTGGAAAGCCATGTACTGCAGCCACAGGATGGAGCTGTTGGGAGAGCTCAACAGCAGCCGGTCAAAGTCATCCGCAGACTCAGGTTGCCGCCCGGGGTCCATGAGCGCCTCCTCAATGCGGGACAGCTCCTTCTCGGCCTTCTGCTTCTCCAGCTCCCTTTCCTTCTTGCCCTTCTTCTTCTGCATGGAAGGAAGACAGTGAGTCATCTGCTCCTTCATGCCCGGCAGCCCGAGGCAGAAGCCACGGGCTCAGACAGTCCTTGGACACAGGAGTCCAGTTAGAGGAGCAAAGCCTTGGAAACACACCAACCTTGGCTTGCTGTGGCTTCTCATCCTCCTCACTGTCTGAGCTCTCTCCTCGGAGTGGCAAAGCTGGAGTCAGAGAGTCGAGCCCCACGTCCCAAACGAAGCCCGAGGAGAGCTGCAGCCGGGGCACCTCTGCAGGCTTTGTCTGCTTTCCCTGCAGGGTCACAGAACACTGAGGGATGGAAGCAGACCAGACTGCTCCCTGTCCCCTGTCTACTGCCACATCAAAGGACCCCCTCAGCCTCAGTGTCCTGAGGGGACAACAGTGACTTAAAAATGCTCTTTCTAAATCAGTTACTTAGACAATGACTTTATAAAACGTCACACACACACACACACAGGTGCGCGCACGCGCTCTCACAGTAGGAGGTCTGGAGAGATACTGATGGTGGCATGGACTGACAAAAGCGAGGAGGCCCTGCCCAGGACTGAGACTTTACAGCATCGAGGAGCGTGGGCTACTGGCTGTGGCTTCTCTTCATCTGCCCACCTCTTTCATTCAGTTCTTATAAACACGTTATTAGTGTTCACAGACCCAGTCAAGGAGCTACACTGCTGAGGTAGCTCCATCCCCCCTTAACAGCAATTACTGCGGATGGGGCTGGCACGGCACGGCTCCTCCCCAGAAGCCTCCCCCACCCCCGTTCGATGGTGACCCTTACCCTGGGCAGCACCCCCGGCTGCTCCGTCTCATCGTCGCCCTCCCGGTAATAGACTTCCACACCACTGTCGTCCTCTTCTGGTGTCCCAGACTTCTTTGGCCTCTTGTTTACTCCTTCCTGAAATGG